TTCAAGGGAGAGTCTAGCCACGTAGATGTTTGTAAAAGCTACAAACAAACCGAAGAACAACAGATATTTTTTAAGCCGACTAAATATGCCTCTAGCAAGTCTTTGCCTATCTCCATAATCATACAGGAGAGCACATCATCGATATTGTAAAGGCTTTAATTTGCTAATATTTCTAAATTTCGAGACCATTACGCGATGTCAATTTCGCAATAAACCTTGCGCATGGAGAAAAGTTAATCGCTAGATTTTACTAAATATTTCTTGGTTGTTGAAACAAAAACTTACGCTTCCCTTGTATCAACATCACCTAAATCCATTGCTGATAAATAGAAAATGATACATGGGCGCGCGTAGATATCGAATTTCTCTTCGAGTGTTTAACTCGATAGCGCACGAGTGAGCGCAGCGAACGAGAGAGATGTCGAGTTGAACACGAGAAGAGAAATTCCATATCTACAAGCAACCATGTATTATTTTGTTTATCATATAAACACAATAGCCCTTTACTGACAAGAAAGCCGACTTCATTAATGAATGAAAATAAATAAAACGACAATCTCTAAATAAGAATCGTAGAGTGCGTTGGCGCTAACTCTTAAGATGGAAAAATGTGTTGAATACTGATTACAAAAACAACAATGTTCGTAATTTTCAATTTACAAAATTCTCATTTATTGACTCTGTCCTTACCGACAGAAGAAGTCTTTCAGGTAAACGGCCAAAATCGGCCAGTGGCAAATCTTCCAGTTGTCGATTTTCATTCTCAGCCGCGAATGTCAACACCAAAGCCACTGAATACGTATCTTGCGGTTTTTCTTTTAGTATATTGGTTCTTTTTCCCCTTTTAGAAAAGTTTGAACCTCACTATCTTTCATCGATACGGATTTTTTGAGTGTTTTAGCCGCCATAATCCGAGAAAGTTCCGACAAACTACGTATACTTTGTGCTGAGAATCGTGAGGGCTTTGCCGTTTATTCATCAACCTCACTGAGTGGCGCCAAAGGCGAGTGACGTATCAGCAGCTGATTGGCTATATCAACACACGTGAAAAAATACGATGTTTTTTCACGTTTGTTGTTACGGCTTTTCTCAGGGCCGGAAATCTTTGTATATCACTTAACTTAGTTTATGTGAGAAAAAGCAATAATCACTCTCCAAAAAAAAAAAAGCTTACACTTCCCTTGTATCAACATCACCCAAATCCATTTCTGATAAAAAACAATAATCTGTCTCCAAAATCGTGTTTTCGGACGTCGAAACACCTTTCACATACATTTCGTTCCAGCGAGTTGCAATGTTTGCCCCATGGCGATCCCAGAAATCTTTGCGCAAACACAAGGATCCGATTACAAGCAACTCATCGATATGTCTATTCCGGGGATCTAGGGCAGGGAGTTTAGATTGAGAATAGGTGGTTGGGGGTTGGGGGTGAAGAGCACATTTTGCGATCCACGTGAAGCAAACTCGTATTGCTCGATACAGTGAGAACTTCAACTTTTGAGGTAAAGTAATTAAGGTTTGCATTGCTTTTTTGTGTTGAGATGTGTCAAGATCTTTCAAAGCGAGAATTTGCTTGGAGCAGGTTCACTACAGCCCCTACCAAACGATACAACATTGTCACATATGCGTAAAAGTGTAAGATCGAAACAAAAGAACTCATCCAACATAACTTAGACGCACAACATTGTAACTTAGCGGATTACCAAGGGTTGTTGATTTCGAAACACCGAGGCTTCGGATGGTTTGTTAATGATACTAAGAGGTAAATGTCGCTATTGCCTTGATACAATTACTAATGTCGCTATTTTCTAGACAAACTTTGTTCTCTTAAAGATATAAATTGCCAAATTGTAACAAAACTGTAGACAAAATTCTGGATAAACCTCAAGAGTAATTAATGAATTTACCATACTGGTTTTTGAAAAACCGGACCCTAGGCTTCTTTACAGCAAATACAGGAGGCGACATCGTAACTTTAGACAGCGAGCCAAAGTTTCAAAGTGTCCAGCATCGTGCCACCCTCACCCCCGGAATAGACATGCCGGTAACTCATTCATCATTTAGCCATGTGCTGTATGAAACGGGTAAACAAGAATTTAAAAATAGATGAATGCCCAGGGATGTTTCCTCGAGCTGGATAAACAAACTGGGTATGGGCGCATGATCTTTAAATATTGCAAAAAAAAACAAAACAAAAAAAAACCAAACAAACAAACAAACGCATAAAACGAACACAAAAGGGAAGTGAATGTATTTCAAAGAGAGAGTTTTGGCACTTTCTTGATTATAGGTTAGATTGAAGCTGTATTTTGCACATTTCACTTTTTCAATTACAACAACATGTCTTCCCCTTTCTTTCGTCAAACTTAAGAAAATTCAAAGTTAAATGCAAAAATTATAAAAAATTAGCAGAAAAATCAAATAGTTTCAAAACGATTAAGAGCGTAACAAGCTTAACTATATGTTAAATCGTATATTGATTGCAAAAGATTGAAATCTTTGGGCCCGTTATTTAAACAAAGTTCAGCCGTTGGTTGACAAAACCGCAATCTAAACTACCTTGAATTTAGCTGATTCTTTTAGGTGAACATGTCTCTTCATAGGTAGTGTCAAGAGGGCCAAAAGCTAGCAGAAGAAATGCATTTATTTAATGAAAACAACCCTCTTCTAGAGAATATTTAAGGCCCACTGATTACGAAAAAACGTGACCGCCGTTTGGCTTAGACCTCGTGTCATTCAATAACCGGCTCTTTAAGTTTAAAGAATAGTCTAAAATGATAACTTCGCACGGATTAAGTCACATTGTTTGTTTAGCAGTGGTTTCAGTTCTTTGACAAACAGCATTTCAAAAATAAGACACTGAAGCTTGTTTTGGCAATTTCTTAGAATGTTCAAACTCCACGCGATGTCAGTTGTCCGGTTCCATGTCATGCTCCTTTATGAGATGGTCTGCGATCGCCGATTCCGTTTGTGATCTTCAATGCGTTGATTAAAGTGCTGTCATGTGTATCCGAAAATCAAGTGCATCATACAGATCACGCATGAAAAAAAAAGAGCGGTTTCTCTTCCTTCAATCTGATCGCGTTCTTTATCTCAGTTTCGACTTGTCTTAACCGGGCTGATTTCTGTGTTCATCTTGCAATTGAGATCTACAGGTCGTCTTCTTTCCGAGTTTGCTGACTTCTCAGTGTTCCTTGTAGGGAAAACACGATTCTGGGAACTTCTTACTTCTCAGTCGCTTGAGCACGACATGCATCTGATATCTTTACATCAATAAAATGATGGATGGTAGGTTGCACAAGTTTTTCCGTGTAGCGCAACCGAGAAAAGGTCTGGAAATATTCAGAAATAATTGCTGACGGGCACCGTACCACCATAAGCCTTTCTTAAATTTATTTTTTTTGAGCACGAGATGCATCTGATATCTTTACATCAATAAAATGATGGATGGTAGATTGAACAAGTTTTTCCGTGTAGCGTAACCGAGAAAAGGTATGGAAATATTCGGAAATAATTGCTGACGGGCACCGTACCGCTATAAGCTTATCTTAAATATTTTTTACGGGCGCTGTTGAAAACAATGCCCAACTTTGCATTCAAAGTTTCACCCAGTTGCGTACTTTCCCATTTTAGGGAAAACTTTTCCGCTGCTACCCCTTGTGGGTCAGCAATAGGTTGGTGTGACCTGTGTGATGCACATGATGCTGGCTCTGTCGAATACTCATGCCAAATTATTCAGGAACACAAAGGGTCGGTGATTGGAGACCAGCTCAGATAACGACATGGCATGGAGCCGGGGAACATCAAGCGAAGTTTGAACATTTTAAGAAAGTGCGAGAACAACCTTGTCTGTCTTATTTTTGAAATGCTTTTGGAGTAACTGCAGAATACCTTGCCACTTTGGTCCACCTCCTTTACATGTGTCGCGAGGCTCCAAGAACGAGGCATAACACAATGGGTGCTATTCTTATTCAATGACATGTAAATGAGTGGCAGGGTATTCAGCAGTTTAGCCATGCTTTTTAACCACTGCTAAACAAACAGTGTAGCACCGCAAAATTATATTATACTATTTATATATACTATTCTCGTACCTTATAAATATTTTGATTAGTTGTAATTATACAATTTTAACAAAACGTAATGCCTGTTGCATTCTCATCTGTTTTTAATAGCATTATATTTACACGACAATTGTTCGTAAACATAACTTGTCATATTCTAATAGACCCTGATAAGGGAAATCGGAGAGGTCGAAACGTCATCCCTTTTCATCGCTAGTTTTTATTATGTTTAAGAATATGTCTTTTTCAACTAAGGAACTCGCTATACCCGAATATTTGTATCGAAACAGTGAAGGAAGCTGGTGGTTACAACTCTTCGGGCCGGTTATTCAGTTTCAATAAAGTTTAGCCAAGGTTTAACAAAACCGCGTTCTAAACTATCTTGAATTATGCTGAATCTTTTATCTGAACATTCAGTTTGTGAACAGTGTCAAGAGGGCCGAAAGCTAGCAATGAAGGGCAATTATTTAATAAAAAACAACCCTCCCACAAAGATTACGAAAGGCCCTCTGATTGCGTAAAACAGCGGTTTGGGTCAGACCTCGTGTAAATAACCGGCCCCTTGTGTTTCTCTTTACTTCTATAGCAGATTGAAACTAATACTACTATGTAAGCAACAACTGTTGTCAAAGCACAACTGAATCAAGTTAAGTCAACAAGAATGGCCTAATGTCACCATCTCTTTGTTTACCGTAAGAACCCTCTGTCACACTTTAAGTTAAGGAACAGAGGAGGAGAAGAAAATTTAATTTAGCCATACGTTTTGCTATCACTTATCTGCTGGATGGCGATTTATCCGTCAGATAGCTTTATCCGCCCTTTATACAGCTGAGCCCAGTAAGTCTCTCTGCCCAGCTGACGCTTAATCTTAATCTTACTTTAGAGCTTCAACTTATCTGATAAGCGCAAAACAGGATTAAAATCGTCATAGGAACGTCACAAATTCTCATGGGTAACGGATTCTTCAGCCGGTGTACTTTGTTGCCATGGATACGACTGTCCTGGAGGTGGAAACTGTGGAATCTGTTCCTTACCAGGGTAGGGTGGTGGCGATTCTAACGGGTATGGGTAATCTGGGGGTGGTATATCTGCGTTTGTTGAAACTAGAGCGTGATTTACTTGAGGGGTTGTGGTGTCAACAGGTTCAGACGGAGTACGGCGTGATACTATAGCCATTGGAAACCTCTCCGCTGCCTCTCTGTTTCGCCTTTTAATTAGTTTAGCCAAGCAAACGTAAAGGAATATCAGTGCAAAAAACACTGCGACAGTTACAATAATGGCTGTCATCCAAGCAGGAGACTCTAAAGAGAAAAAGAGAAACAAAAGTCAAACAAGCAGAGTTATCTGAAGCTAGGATCGTTTCCACGTGGCGTTGAAAAATACTCGAGTTGACGGTGCATGAGACGTGCTACAACAGATTCAACCTCTAATTTTTAAAACAAAGGTAGACAACCTGAACTTGATACGGCCTTGAAGGTGGCTTTGAATCCTCTGTGTGGTTTTCTACCCGCATAATCTGTGGCAGAGTAGAACTCAACCCACATATAACGATTACGGTGACTTGAACGAACGTTTTCGGGAATTGTAGTTCCACAGTATTTTCCCAAAGATGTGCCAGACAATGGCATTCCATCTCCAACTTCCACATAATCTCTGCAACCAGGATCCAACTGAAATCTCTCGAAGATGAGTTCAACGCTTTGTCCCTCGGGTACAGTGATGAGCCATTCACAAAGTAAACCCGGTGGGTAGTAGGTCAACGGACTCTCTAGAATCCCTTCTGATCCGGTCAACCTCAAATCAAAGTTGTGGACGTTATCCGGGTAACATAACTCGCTGGAATTTACAGCTTTAGTTTTCGCTACGGAGTTAGAAAACAATCTCAAGTAAATTCCTTGAAGTGATCCCACGGGGGAAGGGGAAGGGGAATTGGCTTCGGAGAGATTCAGGTGGGGCTGTTCCACCGAGCCTATCAAAATCTGACGTGCCATGCTTGGCATAATGAGATACCATTTTAGAACATACTTTAACAAGTTGTGAATGTCTTACGTGTGGATCATCACAAGTTCAAAACCAGTTGAAATTGTGTCAGTTATCGACCACTCTACCTGATTCTTGCGTCATCATTCAGAAATTACATAGCATAAAAAATCACGACCAAATTCAAAATATTTTATTTTGATGGGGTAGTACATAACAGTTTCGTTTTATTTACTCTGTTTCACTCGTGCTGATAACCTCTGAGGTATTGTCAAACAACACCCTGTCAAATCAGTCGTGATGAAGAGCGCTTTTCACGCTTGCCTTGAACTTGCCTTTTCTACCACCTAATTTCAAAATGTTTTGAGATAAAATTTCTTTGGCTGATTGGAAATGAGGGATGTTACGAATGAGCGGCAAGGTGTTTCAGCGGAGACACCGACTTCCCCGAAAACGAAGAAATAGGAATGCTTTCACTTACATGTTGGATCATGAAGCGCTGTAAATGTTGCTTTGAATCCCATGAAAGATGATCTGATTGGACCAGACCTGAAAAGAACCATCATGTTACGACCGGTAGAGGAGATGTCATCGGGGGTACCAAAACCGCACATTTTTCCTTCGCTCTCACCATCGATGTACTTCCCATCGACAACTTCTACATAATCTGCATCACATCCTCCCGAGATGCCATCTTGAACCATTTGAAAGGTGTCAAAGCTAAGTTTCACAAAGTACCCTTCTGGTACAGCTATGAGCCAATTACAGCTGGAGTGAGAGAGATACCCTTCTCCTCCCTCTGGGCTTTGAAGAGTTCCACTGTAACCAGATAATGTCAGGTTGTTGTTGTAAATGTTGCCCGGAAAACATCTCTGCTCGGAACTTCCGGCTGGGAAGAAAGATGCATCACCCAAATTAACCTACCATTTTTCAGGGAAGTCTTTGGTAGGCTCTCTACAGAATTTAAACCCTTTTGAGCTTTAAAATACTTATATGAATACTAGGGCCCGACTGGCAACACCGAAGGTGATAACGAAACATAATTTTTTGATGAAGTAGTAGAGCGTCCTCAGAGATTCAAGTTATTCACCACATATTTGATAAATTCAAAGTGAAAAGAGGAATACAAAGATACTCTGGAAACAGTCTTGGTCCAGGGCCATGGACTAAGTTCAGTTACACAGGAAAACTTCGAGACAACCAAGCTTATATGTTTTTTTTTCCTACGGTATAATTTAACCGAAAGAAGATTCTATACTCCTACAAACTCAGCTACTTTATTAAACAACGTGTAATGGATCTTACTATTGTAATACCATGTGGGTATTACAATAGTTATCTTCTAAAAAACTTACTTGAGCCCATTATGGACTATATCTTAGTTTACCACTGGCACACACTCACTGCTGCCTCCAAATCTTCTTGAAATGAACAATCTTCCACTGCATCTCTCTCTCCCTCTATCTCTCTCGGTATAACTTTCGAGTCCTTAGATACATTTACAAAGTATTCCAGGACATTTCCAAAGCTTACAAAACAACTGTTTTAGAAGTCTTCCACCATAACTTCATAATCTAATATATTTTTCTCGAAAGTTCCATGGTATGACAGTGGAAAGTTCGTGTATGCATGTCAGCGTGACTAGGCATTCTAGAAATTTCTAGAAACTTATTTTTTTAGTCACTATTCATAACACCTTACCGTCCCAATTTGCAATTCGAGCAAAAGTGTCTTTAGGAACAAAAACTCTTGGAGATGTCATAATCAGTGGTACTTCAAGCCTTTTCCCCTTTAATTTTCCAATGATAACCATCTCTGAAATTACCTATTTAACCCCACAGTTGGTGTGGAAGGCGCACCTAAGCACCAAGAAAGCGAGGATCAGCGATAAATCCCAACTTGCTCCCGCTTTTTCACGACAAATCAAAAACATTGACCAAAGTAACGAACAAGCTTTACGCTTTAAAAATCATTGGTCTGTTGATAAATAAAATCATAATGTACTTACGCGGTTCCACAGCCTCAAAACGTGCTTTAAATCCAGTATGATTCCAAGAGTCCTGACTGGATTGAAACTTTATCCGCATGTACCCCCCAGTCGAGTACACCGCTGACTCCCTACTAAACAAGTTGTATCCGTAGTAAACAGCTACCTCTTCACTCCCCGACTTTTGCCCATCAAGTATTCGCACGTTGTCCTCCCGATCAAGATTAAATTTATCAAATGTTAGCTTCACTCTTTTGTTAGCAGGAACGGAAATCACCCAGATACAAGTGACTTTTCTCGGATAAGGAGTAGGATAGAATGGGGAGAAGAGGGTACCAGAGGAACCAGTGGGGCGAATATGTTCGGCATTCCCTTCTGACGATTGGCATGCTCCAAAGGCTTCCTCTGCAAATGAATGCATCAATAAGAACGTTGCAGCTCGATTTCAGACATTCATTTGCAATCCTTGTCAATATTTACCAACCTCACACATCGTTATTCCGGTATAATTTATTCGCCCCCCCCCCCCCACCCCGCCGGGAAACAATTGATAAAGAGCTGAGTGCTTCTATAGTACGTTTGTCTTCTTCACCAAAATATGCGAGACATAGGAAAGTGACTCTTTCCACTGACCATGGTGTTGTAAATAATGCCATCAGACTTTCCCCTACGCCTTGCAGTACATTTTCAACACCTGTAAGGCTTCAATAGTCAAACCACGGAAAGACAAACTCCGTAAACTTACGCAAGAAAAACTTAAACGATCCCATTTCCTCACCCTCCCCCCCTCCCTAAGCCCCTTAGGCCAACTGAGTTTCAGAGTAAACCCAAGAATGCCCAAATAACGTTACCTCTGACCACGGCTGAAAAGTTTAAACTAAAACTGCCTGCTTCCAATAAGTATTTCTCTTCCACAGAAAAATCAACAAACATGTGGCGTCCTGTGGAATAAATCACATCAGGATGGACCGTTCCGGTATATGATTTTCCAAGACGCTTGTATGATGAATCGATACCATCATAAAAAGTGAGTCTATCATAACTTTTTTGCAGATTGAAGTGATTAAATTTAACTTTCAATACATATGCTCCACCAGTGGAAAGGTCATCCGGTACTTTGAGTATCCATCTGCAACACCATGAAAACAAACTGGCAGGAGGCAAGAGAGGATAGCCTGGACTCGTCAGTGTCTTCTTATCTGATACAGAAGCAGCAAGTGCTTCACCGTAGCGAGGACAAACTAAAAAGTACAAATACAAGGAATGGTTTGCACCCAGGAGTAACAATGTGAGAGAAGTCCTGAGAAGGACCATTGTTCATAGTACTGACTAACGTTTCAGAGTGCAATGCTGTAACCCTATAGATGAAAGTTTCTGGAAAGCTGGTTCACTCCGTTGGAACAGAATCCCATGCCAAATTTCAACGACTACACCACAAATAAAATTAATAGAACGACCAAATATTACCAACAGAACAAACTGACCAATCACATCAACCTTACGTCATTTGAGTCTCACAGCCAATAAGATCACGGCAAAATTGACCAATCATAACACAAGAACCAGACTCATGAAATTCAACAGACAATAATTCTTTACTTGGCTTCTGCTGAGGTGGTGAAATCTCTTTAGAGAGAGGAGAAAACCACCCTACCATCAGCATGAAAATAGGGCAAATGCAAGGGACTTTCTCTCAAGAAATGGACCTCGTTTAAGAAAAAAATAAAGTGCTTTGAAGAAGAAAAGTTCTTGACTCAAGAGAGGAGATAACTTATGTTGACTAAACAAAAAAAAGGGCCTCCTTCATACACAATGGCTTAATTTCCATAGTGGTACACTAATTGACTTACTGAGTTTATTCTCTGCAGTGAATTTAGCCTTAAACCCTTTATGATATCGATGCGAGGAGGAGGAGGAATCTGATCTGAATCGCACCCACATGTACCGACTTCTCGAGCGGATTATCCCTGGATTTGACTCACCACAGAACTTTCTGTCACTTCCGTACACGTCTAGTACCTCTACATAATCACCATAGCAACGCCATAAAGGAAAACCTGCAGCCACAGACTCCATATCGAATAGCTCGAAGCTGAGTTTTACAATGTTCCCTTCTGGTACTGTAATGAACCAGTTACAGCTCATTCCTGGATAATATTGGGAGTAATTATAAGCATCTCTTGGACTCTCAAACGTTCCATTAAGGCCACTTAAGATGAGGTTGTCGTTGTCAATGTTTCCTGGCCAACATCTGTTGTTGGGACTTGCAGCTGTGAAGAGATCATACACATTTCCTGTAAACAACTTAATCTTTATAATATGTTTTGTCCTTTTAAATTAGATCGACTTGAGATTTTGGGTATTCATTAGGTCTATTCAACCCAGGCATATGGGACCTATACAGTATCTCTGCGTAACAACAAATGTCTGTATCATCCCTTGAGGAAAAAATTAGTAATATCAGTTTCTCCTTCCCCCCTGTAAACATACATGTCCAATACATTTGAAATTCAATGCAATCCATGCAATCCATGCCATAAAATGACTATAAGAAGCTTGGGGGCAAAAACTGAAAAACTAAAAAACCCAACAGGACAGTACAAAAACATTATCATCATAATTTTTCATTTGACAGACACAACACTGAAGTAAATATGACCATACTGTCCTAGTGGAAATTAAAGTACAGGCAACCCATGACAAATAAACACAAAAATACCCACAGTCTTCTGCATAACCAAAGAGGTCGCAAAATAGCACTAACAAACCTACACAAACTCAGGCCTCAGCAGACCAGTTGCTGGTCTTTAAAACAGGTCTAGAGCTTCTCACCTTTGCTTCAAAAAGACTATCAGATATCTGTTTTTATCTAATTCTTCCTACATCTAACAAGAGGTTAATTATAATGTAACGAAGAGGGCACCCATACAGAATCAGTGAGCTATAAACAAAACTTGAATTAAACACTCTCTTATATTCAATTATATTCATTATTATTCTTATTTATTTGCTGTGTTTTTAATATAAAGATACTCAGGCACTGACTGATATGTAGGGTAATAAGTATAATCAAGGGGGTGGATAACATAAATCGGCCACCTTAAAGAGTTTCAGAACTGACGTTTCGAGCATTAGTGCTCTGTCAGAGCATTAGCCCTTTGCTTTGAGGAATGGAAAACACTCAAAATGTCAACTTAACAATTTATGTTATCAACTCAGATAGTACCATGTTATACTCTCCCACTGACCCAGCACCACAGTTTCTTTAGAAACTTATCCCCTTTATTTACTGACTGATATATATCCTTTTGTGCTGATACCAGAGTTCCACTTATTCATCACAGCTTTATTATAAGATGCAACACTTTAAATGAATTTAATTAATGTCACTTACTAGTATTTTGTGCAAATGTAGTCTTAATTGCTGCCCATGATAATAAAAACAGACCTGAAAAGGTATGAAATAGAAATGAATTTTCAATCAGCAGCACCTAAAGAACAACTCTGCAATTTGATTGGCTACTAGTATAGAACATACACTGTATGAACATATCAAATGCAATCAACTTTTTGTTTCATTTCTACCCATTTACCAGATGGAAGTTTTTTTTTCAATCTGTTTAAAGAATATTCATTTGATTACAGAGTTGGACTGAGTAGCATGGACACAAGGGCATAGCTAACAATCTTAACTCTCGATATTTTTAAAAAAAAAAAAAACAAACATCAGAACTCTGATCATAGAGCCCTTGTTGCCAAGGAAATTCTATTTTGTTTCCAACAAAGTTGGGTCATGATAATGGGATGATCAATAAAATTTATTTGCAAAATAAGGAAATAACTTGATTATTATTTTGTTTATGCACAAAAGTAGGGTTCAAAATGGAGTTGGTCATATACTAGGGTTATCAACTAGACAGGTTATCAACTAGATAGTGATATACATGTAAATACTACACATACAGTCAAACTGGAATAAAGCAGCACTGTATTAAGCAGTCACCCTGTATTAAGTGGTCAATAGTTAAAGTCCCAAAATTCTTTCTCATTAAACACCTTAATTTTCACCTCTAAAACCCTTTACCTCCCATGAGTGACTAAGAGAATTTCTCCTTACAATATCTATACAATATCAAGCATATAGAAGTGATGAGAATGAAGTAAAATATGAATTAGGGCATTAGTAGTTGATCCAATATCATATTTTTCCGAATTGACATCATAAGAATTGTATGGCAGACAATAAGGAGAATTACTAAGGACATCTTTGGAGTTGAAGGGTTAAACATTACCTCTGTTAAGCAGTCATATAACCACCCTTAACTCTAAAACCAGAACCACTCAAATAAAACTTAAAACAAGTTTTCAAGTACATTTTGTCCATGTTTATCCCCAGAAATCAACACCAGTAGTATTTGTGGGCGAATTTCGTACATCAAATGTTCACATGTGGCATAAAATGGCATTTTTTTACAATACTTCTATTCTGTAGAACCTGTATTAAATGGTCAACCTGCATGAAGTGATCACCATGCCATACCCTGGGGTTGACTGCTAATACAGGTTTGACTTTAGTAGGAAATCACATAGTTATAGTAATTCATAGTAGAGCTGTCGAGAATGAGATTTGGGAACAGTCTCAAGCGACATAGGTAAATGATTTCCAAAACGCTGTGCTAAGAAAGATTGATATGTAACGTATTACAACAGGTGCCATTGAAGACTCGGCTGTCTTATGATAAAATAACACTGACATTCTGCAAATTAATAAATAGCAACTTAGGAATAATTAATCAATCAGGTGAAAGTAGTATTGGAAAATGAACTGAAAAAGTACTACCAAAAGACAATCCGCCCGAGAATGGACTTCGATCTGCCCGACGAACAAACAGTACATCAAATTACAAAGATTAGGCTGTTATTCCATTTTTAAAATTTATTTTAGTAAATGTTTGTAGATATTTGTTGACCGTGTTACCAAAACAACTGCTCATTCAACCGCTGGAATATTTAACTTCTTCGGAACGTCAGCGATCAAAAGCGAAATCATTTTGTTACGTAATAGACACATCGAGGCCAAATTTTTTAGGCAAAAAGTCAGTTGTGATGTCAGTTGAATAAAATGTCTGGTTTTGTAAGATATTTCACTAAAAATGCTACTACCACGGAAACGAAATGATTCTACGGGCTTGAAAATGGGATACCAAATTTGTTTAAGTAATGCTTTTTATCATGATGGCGGTCATGCAAACAGTGAACGGAACGTAGCCGAGACGAATTTTACTGCAGAGTCAGTAGACAACTCAGAAAAAAATATTAAAACATTCATGTTGTATTTCGTTACAAAAACTCATAACACACTAGTTTTATCTAAGATACCATTTTAAAGAACTCTACACAACTCATAGATAAGACGACATATACATCGGGCGCAATGACTTCGAAGTTCGGGTGGAAAGGTCTCGGGCGGTTTGACTCTCGGGCGGAACGACCGAATACCGCCTAATCTGTGTACTAAAATGGTGCTGTTCTGTTTTCTCATGTTACATGCGGATGAACGATGGCTTCGATATCAAAATTCAAATTTTCTAGCCTTTCTAATGAAGATCTAAAAATGCAGCTTACGTAAAATAATGAGATAAAGTTTCCGCACAGCCCCATCCTACATTATGCATTCAGTTCTTGGATAGAGAAAACAATTACAAAAACAATACATTGCCATCGGGAAAACAGATTTGTTTTACAATAGTATGGGGCTGTGCGAAAATTTTAACCAGCTGTGAACAAATAAGTTGTAATCGTGCGAAAAGTCAAATTATGTCAAATCAAACACCTCAGTCACGAAATAGTTCTAGCTAAAAATTACCACAATGCATGATGGAATAACAATAAGTCTTAGCAGGGAACAAATTAAAGAAAAATTTACCTAATATTTCCACGAGGCACATGATCTTGTCGTGGAAAACAAGTTCTTTGGGGTTTGAACGAGGTTCCGAGCGAACCGAACAGATTCTTAGTCACGAATCCTTACAGGCCTCAATCCAGCCCGTGGGGGGATAAGCGAGGTGAGCGAAGATATCCTTCCCCCCACCACAAAAAAAATAGCCGCTGACGTAGGCGTTCAACAGAGTGGTGTATCTAGTTCAAGGTTCATTTAGTTCAAAATAATTTAAGAATTCTTTAAATTTTCGGCGAGTTAAAAGGCCTAATCGTAAAATGGAACATAACCCATGCGTCGGCTTGTTTTTCCGTGATGCGGAAATGAACAACCTCAAGAAACCTCACCCCAGCACCCCAGGGTCGTAAGATTGTATGTAAACGCATTTTGTTTTTCGACCACAGCTAGGCGGGTTACCTCACCTACCTGGGGTCCCCCACTTCCATGTAAACAGGCCCTTAGTCCTTGACCTCAAGTGTCGAGTTAGGGTCGTATCTGTTCGTCCTTTACTTCAAGCGTGGAGCGTCGGTATTGTTCGTCCTTGACCTGACAAGCGCATAGTCTGAGACTGTTGTCTTTGATCCCGTAGAGGCGTGGAGCGACAGCAGTGTCCGTCCTTCAGTCTTACATACAGTAACATTTTAAACTATGCACATCAACAAGTGCCCTATTTTTTGGATTTTATTGTTATTCATTCAAATAACATCTCTAAGTTTTGCATGTTAAGATATTAAACAAATAATTATTGCGTTACATCAATCATTTTGACTGGATCAATACGCATATTTTATAACCTACAGTGATTTTCTCCACACCGTGAAACAACGACTACAGCATATTACTAAAACTAAACAAAACAATGGGACTAGTATCTCATGGAATGATCTTGTGTTGGTAACTGTTTCACAGGTTTAGTAAAATCACTCTATTGTTAATGTCAAAACAGAGGGAAAAGCGAGTGGAGCATGGGGGGTGGTCTCATGGACTAAAATTTCAACCCCTCAAAACAAATATTTTCTCCCTGTGGGCCCCCAAATCTTTCATGAACCAAATAGCCAAAAATACATCGTCCTCGCCCGCATTTCCTAACCTTTGGTAATTACTAGTTTACCGTTAAATGTTTTAAAAACCGCTTCGTTTTACGTCCTCAAAGGAGACAAGTCGTTTTCAGTGGAAATGGAAATTGTTTTTACCCAGCCGTTGCCCTTCGGTGGAATGAAACAAGACATGAGAAACACGAAGAGATCAGTATGTCCAGTTCCAGAAAAAAATCAGTGATTTCTTCGGGTGATCTAACTGACTAATCATGGTAGTTACTGTAACTGCACAATTCCTTCTAATGCTACGCTCAGTAGCCAACGCATCCCACGGAATCGCCTCTAGGCGTCTTGTTTGTTGTGGCTGCTGTTGGAGACGAAGCCACGTATGTCGTCGTGAAGAGTTCGTGAGTGGGTGAGTGAGTGAGTGAGTCATTTCAACAATGGATCTTGATATTGTGCTACTTTTTGTTTGTTTCGTAGTATCTTAGTAAGTTCGACATTTGCACTACATACTCGTTTGTGCTCTCTTTTTTTGTGAATTTAGGCTTATAACCACCAAGGCATAATGTTTCTAGTTCTTGCCGTGTCACTTCAAGGGACAGCGGACTGAAGATGATATAGACATCTCACAATCATTTCAGATTTGCGCGTGATTAAAAACAACACTTTTCCATGTGGTCCGGCGCATTATGAAATTAAGAGGAATTTTTCTTTGAAGAGAGAGCATTTTACCGTTTGAATAAGCGAATAATGCCCAGTAGATGCGAAGATATAATTCTCTCAGTTCTTGCCGTGACAAAGCAAAAGACATTGTAGATATCCCAAAATGTTTACCGACTCGGTCACCGACGCGTAGTTTAAATCAAACTTTTCCTCGCAGAAATATCTCAATGGGTGTGATCTGCATATCATGGAGGCTTTGAGGAAAATATTTTTCTTCGAAACGAGAGCATTTTACCGTTTGAATCAGCGACTTATGTCCGAAAGAGCCGCTAAATCTGCGAAGCGAGCAAACTGCGAAATTTAGGGCCTATTTACATAGAGGCGGGGGACCCCAGTTAGGTGAGGTAACCCGCCTAGCCGTGGTCGAAAAATAAAACGCGTTTACATGCACTCTTACAACCTCGGGTTGCTGGGGTGAGGTTTCTTGAGGTTGTTGTTGCGCTTGCAATTAAGGAGTTTGAGTAGAGGCGTCCCAAGCTCAATTGTCGAAAAAGACGAAAGATTAATTCTCGGACACGTGTATTAATTCATTAAAGCGTCACGCGTTGTGTTACGCGGTGTTTGATTTCGCGAGGAACCTTTGACTTAATTTTTTGTACGGAATAGTTTGGGTTAACCAAATATGTTCGATTTACAACGCTAAATATTCCGAAATGTGAACATTTTACTCTCCTTGTGTGTCCGTAGCGGTTTTTGGTGATTTCTGCCATGAGACGGCTAGGAAATGTACAAAGTTTTAAAACATACATGTTTCGCTTTTGAACTTTTTGCCAGGAACGCGACCCCAGGTAGGCGGGTTACCCCACCTTGACACGTTTACATGACAAATTGTCACCCCGGCTGACCGGGTTACCCTACCTGGCAGACCGGGCAACCCGCCTGGGCGGGTCACCCCACCTATCATGTAAACGTGATGAAAATAAAATAAGAAATTATATGGACAGGCGGGTTACCCTACCTGGGCGGGTTACCTCACCTACCTGGGGTCCCCCACCTCCATGTAGGCAGGCCTGGGCGGGTTGCCCGGCCTGCCAGGTAGGGTAACCCTGTCAGCCGGGGTGACAATTTGCCATGCAAACGTGCCAAGGGGGGGGGGGGGTAACTCGCCTACCTGGGGTCGCGTTCATGGCAAAAAGCTCAAAAGCGAAACATGTTTGTTTTAAAACTTTACACATTTCCTAGCCGTCTCACGGCAGAAATCACCAGAAACCGCAACGGACACACGTGGAGTGTAAAATGTTCACATTTCGGAATATTTAGCGTTGTGAATCGACCATATTTGGTTTCCCAAACTATTCCGTATAACTTGTTAAGTCAACGTTTCCTCGCGAAACCAAACACTGCGTAACGCAACGCGTAACGCTTTCATGAATAAATACATGCGTGCTTT